ACTAGTCACCAAACTGGTAGAGGCTGAAGTGATTTCAGCTTGTTGAAGAGAATGGCTATCTATATTTGAATTTTCGTCTAATTTTTTCCCACTTGACTTACTGCGATCTTCTAATTTAAGCTGGTGTATATACTCATAAGTAAGTATAGAAATAAGGAGCATTCTAATAAGAATAGGTCCTGTCAACTGATCAGATGTTTCATCTACACGATCTGGTTTTTCTTGAACTTTGCCCATTTTTAAATACTTGGTATTGGTATGTTCTGAATAAGTAATACTTTCAGATCTTACAGTTAAATGATCAGTAAGTAGTAACGTAGAATGTAGTTCCGCAAGTATGTCATGAAAAATATTTTCTGTTGCTGGATCCCTAGATCTTTAGGGGGAAATACAAAGTAAAAAAGTGTGACATCATAAAATCTTTCTGATTTCTAACATGGACAACATAAATCAGCATATGAATGATCCTTTAATTGTGGATGACGAAATGAGCGAGCCCGAAACCCTGCAGTAGCGATTATGCGTGGAGCTGTTGTGGTTATGGACTATTAAATGGAAGTACACTCTGACTGCAACCTGTAGTATTGAAGAATTCGGTTTTGAGTCAAACTTTCAGGAAGTTTCTAGTTATGACAACCTACCAAGTTTGATTTAAATATATAAGAAGTAATATGGCTCTTAATACAAGCTGGTGTAGCAGATAATGAAAACTAGGATTCATGTCACTCGTGCACTTAAGTCATTTGGACCAAGACTCATATTTTGAGGAAATATATGGTATTCATCTGTAAATCTCTTAGAAACCATCTCATCGGCACTTCACTCAGTATATCTATACTGCTGAAAGTTTCGATCCACATTAATTTCATCCTTCAAATAATTTACCCTTACAGATAGCATAAAGTCCAACCCTTTACTCGACTACTGAGGAAATAAAAGTCAACTAGTGTCTTGTTCAACATCTGGACTTTGATGATTGAATGATGAACACTAGACCTTCGACTACGAAATATTTCCCATATATCCTACTCAAACGCTTTCTAGACCAAACATTTTTCTGAGCACCATAAATCATCGAAAAGCTAGGTCAGTCTATAACTCAGATCTATAGAATAGGCGATTGATTATTATTTGTCAGAACATTTTAACCTTCGGACAGCGATTCAAAAGACGGGGGAATCTGAGTTAAAACATGGTTAATTAAGAAGAGTACACAATAATGTTTTATTATCTTCATATTTAAACTAAACAATAAAAGAAACTCCAGGGGATTAAGAGAATATTTTGACAAGCCTTACATAAATGTTAAACTTTCTGACCATCTTTTTATTTTCCAGTTCCTATGTGGCGAGACTCTAATTTAGGGACGACCTTTGAACGAATTTTGAGTGACCTTGAGAATATTAGCCAATCAGAAGACAGCCAGTATAACGTAGAAATATATTAGAAGAAACTAATGGATTACAGTGAATATACTGATTTCACGTGATTTTAAAACTTATCAAGGTTTGCTAAAGTTTCAGATGTTTTGAAATGATATTGCATACGATATAAAAAGTCATAAATTCCAAGTACCTGTCGAGTATATTCACGGAAATGCTACTTACACAATCCTACTTTATACTACGTCCCCTGTTGTATTTTAGCTTTCTCACTGCCGTTTCATCTGTCTGCACGATACATCCTACTCCTCCGAATGATTGGTGTATACGTGATATTTTAGTTGCACATATGTCACGGCAGTACTTATACCACTGGACTGCTGAAGTTTCATAAACAACTGCAAACGCCGCATCCAGTGTTACTGGTGTATTTATTACCCAATTTGCAACTATTATTATAATCTGATTCAGTTTCAGTAGCAATCGAGCTAAGAAAGTCCTCGTTTTAGTAGACTTTCTCATCCAACATGAAGGACAACGCAATATAATCTCACCACGGTGGTTTGTACACTTTACTGCGGTCATATGATAACCGCAGTCTCACGTACAAGAACTTTTTAGTAATCCCATCCCTTGTAGCCTCTCAATAATCACCTCTTCTCTAAAATCCGCTGTAAACCGATCATATGTGAGCATCAGGTGTTAAACTTGGCTCCGTGACCTTGAAACGGCTCACACGCTTCCGATTGGCTCGTCCCTAAATTAGAGTCTCGCCTCCTATGTCTTTTATATTTTATCGAAATGTTGTATTCCTTCAGCTGAATAATCTAGTTGTGAATCTTTCACTCCCTCTTTTGCCGACATCAGGGTATAGATAAACAGTAATAAATATATAATGACAAACTACTAATTTTGGTCGAATCACCAATGAACAAATTGAAGGGATTGCCAAAATATGAACTAAAAAATTAATGCTACGATCTAAATTTTCTTTGTTAGCACATGAAACTTTTATCTCTAATAAAAATACTGTAAGTGATAAAGCTGTACATTGTTACGAATAAACTAGTTTTGATTTTTTCAACAAGTAACTCAGTAACCAGGTAAGGGGTGTGCGCTTAACTTCGAGTAACACATTCTTGCAGAGGCTAGTGATCATGCCTGGCTACCCAAAATGAACTAGTTGGAATCTGATGCCAACTTGCATCTTGATAGTGTTTTAGCATTGTTGCACCATAGTACTAATAAGTATTTTATTACCTTTTGAAATAAATTAACTAAAATATATTCTTTTCAAATAACAAAATCTATGAATACACAATGAAAAATGACACATACTCTACAGGTTTCAGGAACTGCTGAATTAGGTAGATGAATTTCATGATAGTTTTCCGGAAATCTTTTGGTCTAATAAGCAACAAAAAAGTTAATTGTTAGAATGATCATTAAAAAACTATATGTTTGGCATAAGTAAACTTTCAAGACGACTGAGTGATATTTCTTAAATTTAAAGTTTATGACGCGAAGATAAGGGCTACCGTGACATAGTATGAGGATGAAAGATCCATGTTTTTTATCATCGAAATCCGAAAATTTACTTAAGGATTATTATCGGATGTTCAGTGCAAAACTACTGTAAAGAATTTGAATGTGGCTAATTTACATTAGATGCTGCATCCGCCTTGAAAGGTTATTGATTGATAAGATTTCAAAACAAATACTGAGACGTTCTATGACGTTTTTAAGCTTAAACTACCTACAACATAAAGAGGACATTAGGGAATCTAAAACAATAAGCCAATCTCTACTTCGTAAATAGTTAAAGATGGGTGAAAAAAAACAGGATTTGATTATGTTTTTTTAAGAAGCATTTTCATTGTGTCAGCATTTCCAGGTAATAAATATTTAGGTTATAGGTGGTGGTGTTTAGATAAGCTAACCCGACTGTTGCAGATGTTTACGAATCGGGTTTTGTGAAAGGTGTTATGTGCACCGCAGTAGGTATGGTCTGGGGCTTGTAGGGATGATGAATTTGTTTAGTGAAATTTATTCCGCTCAAACACTTTACGCAATGCGAAATACGATAACTCGAACAAATATATGGTTCAGGTGTTTATAATGGTCATCTATTCTTTCTAGTTTTTACTGACAATTACCATGAAACACCTAACGAATAGAAATAACTAAGTACAAATAATACGCTCACCTGAAGTAAGAAGCATATCGGATGCGTGAACTTTTAGATGGCTTTTCACGAATAATTATACCATAACGAAGCTCATTTTTAGCCAATACAGTGATGAGATTTCCTTTAGCACCCTCAAAAGGCGAACGGGATGTTAAGCAACGTAAATAATGGAAAACAGCATTTAGGCCGTAGCAACGTCCAACATCTAAAATACCTAATTGATTGTGAGGCAGTCCTGGCGGAAAAAGAGGATATTTGGAGATATGGATGAAACAGCTTAGAGAAAAGCATAAGTCAATGGCTACATAGATATGGTGTGAATAACACTTGACAACATAAATCAAAATCATTGATACTTTTTAGTTGCCTCTATTTATTGGTAATATACCAATAGAATGATCTACATACCTACTGTTAGTGGGACATAGATTGGATTTAAGCATGCTCAATGCACGATTGCTTTGGCGTACGCTGATTGGCTGATTCTTATCCAATCATCGCTAGTCGATACATGGAGAAGCTTCTAGATTCTTCTTATGTGAAAAGCTATAAATATACTAACGGTTTTCCTATTTTGCTTCTTGCTTCCACCTAACCTTGTTATTTCAAAAGCTGAAGTTCCGACTATTTCGGGAAAAGACGACACTCTCATCTGCTCCCAGTCCAGACGTTTAGAACGATGGGCGGAACATTTTAAGGAGCAGTTCAGTTGGCCTTCAGCTACTCTACAACTACCCTCTATTCCCAGACAGTATGAATGGAACATTGAAGTAGGTCCTCCGACTCTAGCTGAAGTTTAAAAGGCTATAGCTAATCTGAAACGAGGAAGGGCAGCTGGTCCAGACGGATTGGCCCCAGAGGTCTTTAAGGATGGTGGTCTAGTCTTAGCGATTAGGTTGACTAATATTTTAGCTAAAATCTGGGAGTTAGACGTTATCCCATCTAACTGGTCACAATCACTTATCGTCCCAATATTTAAGAAAGGGTCAAAATCATCCTGTGACAACCATAGAGGGATTAGTTTAACTAATATAGTATCTAAAATACTAGCCTCGATAATTATCGGACGCCTAACTAAGACTCGTGAGCTGCAAACACGTGAAAATCAGGCTGGCTTCAGACCTGGTCGTGGATGCATCGACCACATATTCACCATTCATCAGGTTCTAGAACACAGACATACTTATCGGCGTCCGACAATAGTGGTCTTCCTTGATTTAAAAGCAGCGTTTGACTCTGTTGACCGAGAGGTTCTGTGGCAGTGTCTGTCATTGAAAGGCGTACCTCAGAAGTACATAAACCTTGTGAAAGCTCTTTACTCGAACACTACTAGTGGAGTCAGAGCTTATGGCGAACTGTCATCTGCTTTCGCAACTTCAAGTGGCGTCCGTCAAGGCTGTCCACTTTCTCCATTTTTGTTCAACTTCATCATAGATCTACTGATGGAAATAACGCTCTCATCGACTGAATTCTCAGGTATTGATCTCCTACCAGGAGGTCCACTTATTGACTTAGAATACGCAGATGACATAGTCCTGTTTGGTGAAGATGCTGATGAAATGCAGAGTCTTTTGGTAGCACTGAGCAACAATGCCAGAATGTTTGGGATGCGCTTCTCTCCCTCTAAATGCAAGTTGTTGCTTCAGGACTGGTCTGCATCAACACCTGAACTAAGGATAGGGGGTGAAGTAGTCGAACGCGTTGACAACTTCACTTATCTTGGAAGTCTGATCAGCCCTAATGGGTTGGTGTCTGACGAAATCTCAGCACGGATTCGAAAAGCTCGCTTGGCCTTTGCCAACTTACGTCATCTATGGCGAAGGCGAGATATCCGTCTATCAATTAAGGGACGAGTATACTGCGCGGCAGTTCGTTCCGTTCTACTATACGGCTGCGAAACATGGCCTTTAAGAGTAGAAGATATTCGTAAGTTACTAGTATTTGACCACAGATGCCTTAGAAATATTGCTGGTATCTGCTGGGATCACCGGGTAAGTAATAGTGAGGTTAGACGCAGGGTATTAGGGAATGATGGTAAATCAGTTGATGAGGTTATGAACCTTCATCGACTGAGATGGTTGGGCCACGTGCTGCGTATGCCTGAACACCGATTACCACGACGCGCAATGCTAACCGGTGTTAGGGATGACTGGAAGAAAGTTAGGGGCGGCCAAACCAAAACGTGGCATCAGTGCTTGAAGTCACTAACTTCTGGTCTGAGCCATGTTGGTAGATGCAGACTACCTGGTTGGGGTCCGCGTGACTATCGTAACCAATGGTTGGAGACTCTTGGTGACATGGCTCAGAATCGATCACAATGGCGTCGGTGTATACACTTTCTGTCTTCCTTTAAACTAAGAGATTAAAATCACTCCAAATCTTTCTTTCTACGAACTAATTCTATCTTCCTGTACTATCTCCTTATACACACTCTTTCTTCTATATATTACCTCCAGTGAATTAACTACTTCTATGAATCCGGTGTTCATCTTGTTGTGCTAATGCGGTATGGCAACTTAGACCGATGCATAGATGTGCCTGGTCCTACGTTGCAGCTGACTGACTAACCTTGTTATTTGGAATATAATCTCCTTCCTGCTCAATCGTGTTCTGATTTGGGGCCTTGTCGAGTGAATCTGTGTCCGTGAATACTAAGCAATAGGAATAGCTGGGTTATAACCGTAAGAGCGAAAATATAACACCTACATACTTCCGCTTGGCCTCAACCATTTAAACAGAGAAGGCACCAAATATATATATGCGCCACACATATCTCATTTGATATGTGTGAGGGCTGTGATACTGCTCGGGTGCCCAAACCGAAACAGGTGGTTTTCTTAGGGGGCCACATCCCGAGCCTTTGACCTGAAGATCTGATCCACAAGGCAGTGGAGCATCGTGAGGAGATGCAGTCCCATGGTAGCCGGTGACCAACGATTGGTTCATACGCCATTTGTTCCCGCAGGATACTGGAGCCCATGTGCACCATTGGTTTGGGATCCGGTTAAAGCGCCGGACATTCGCTTTTCGTCCTCTCATTTTCGTAAACACCCCCGCCACGAGAAGGCAGTGAGTAGGACTTCCCTGGCAGGGGCTGTATACGCGTGGCCATATGAGAGCATTTCGAGAGGGGGAGCGGACTCCCCCCACTCTCGGCCGTACCAGGGCATTTGGGGGCCCCCAAACCATTTAAACAGACAGTAAACATCACAAGTACATACACTGAGTAAATCTAATAGTGGGGGAAATTCCAAACACCTGGTATGATTGACGTTTTACCTGAAATAACCATACCCAGTAGTGCCTTTTGAATATTATCAGCTGAAAAAGCCTCAAAATTCCACATACTATAACCTGATAATAACGCGACAGAATGAGGTCAGGTGGTCAAAACTGTTGTTTCGTTTCAAAATAGTAAACACTAATGATGAGGATATCAAAATGTCTTTACACGCTGTCACCTAACGTTTTCTGACTTACATGTTTCACTGTATAACCAAATACAACAGTTACTTTATGAAACATGTCAAGCGAGTATTAGCACATATGTTTTGCTCAGTGTATGAACCTTTTATGGTTACTAGATTACTTTTATTTCACATTAGTTCTGTAAACATAATTAGGCTTAAAAATTAACATACTTGTTGTTGCGGCAGGTTTTATGAACAAGTTTTGAAACTTGAAGTGAACTAAATCTCAACCAATAGATGTGACCATATGAAAACTGACCACGAGACCAAATTATGGACGCAAGCCCCAGTGAACTTATGTCAGAAAACAATACACTGACCCAATGTACTGGTTGTCTATTTAATGGAATGAAATGCTTATAAATAAAATGCGAATAAGTAAACAGGATTGGTTGTCATAAACGACTGGACAGTGAAAATTTTGTAAACTCTTCACTCTTCAGGGTGTGTCAGTCAGGAACAACGTAGAACTTAGTACGTACGTATGTCTTCAGGGAACTAAAATAACTATTAAACTTAGTTCTTAACCCTCATATTACACGTTTTATTCATAATCTGAACGGAAATATGAAAGTTTTTCATGGTTGCAGGGTAAAGTTAAATGCTCTAAAACTAGTATAGCTCCATCCAGGAAGTCGCATTAACCCAACTGGGGAAAGATGTCTACATGAACCCTATATACACGATGGGTAACAATTGAAGTCTATCGAGTCACCTACTTGCCGAAACAACGAGAAACTTACTAATAAGACTATCTGTCAGACAAAAGAATTTAGCGAAAACAAACCCCAAAGCAAAACGTATGAACGGGAACACCACTAAATCTTGTTTCTGATATAGATTATATATTAAGAGATATGGTACTTACCCATAAGAGGATCAAAATAAAAAGCCGCTTTGTAATATCGATAAGCGAGTCGCTTAGCGTTAGAATCACCAAAATCAATTAGATAGCGAACTGTGTTTGTTATATATGTATGAACAACGTACATAGGTCTCCGATATTTGTCAGACATTTGTGTATCAACTTGATAACTGCAGACTTATTCTCCACAGAGGGATTATGCCTTTGCTCAAACTCAAAGAACACTCCTCAGACAAAACTTAAGCAACCGACACGGCTTACCACAGTAAAGAGGGATATGCAAAGCTATTGGGATCCATGAACACAAGTTATTAGATTGTGTATCTTCTAACTCTGATTGGAAAGTTAAAATGAGAGACTGATAGTATCCTATAGCACTGAGGATATGGACGACAAGCATATTCTCAAACAACTTGATGCGGTCTTGTTGATCATTGTTCTGAATTTGTTTAAAAAATGCTTCTAAATTTGGGTACCTTAATATAAACTTTGTACAGGAAATAAGGTTCATAAAATGCTTTGCGCCAAATAAGCTCCTCAGTTCTTCGAAAATTCGTGCTTAAATCCATAAACATGAGTTTCTGAAGTAGTTCCTTTAGTCTATGGTGGTATAGAAAGGAAATAAATTCAAACCTCAACCTATGCCCATAAGCCTCATAACTAAAGACGGTTTTAATCGCCTTCCCACCATGATAAACAGTATCCAACTTCTTTGTTAGAACATAGGCTGCTCTAAAAATGTAAAAACATTACAACAAGATTCACACCTCCATAACCCCTTTGATTTGTCCAGATTTTCAACTGATGGACCCGTTAGTGACATCGTAGCACTACATTTAAAATACCCGGAGTAATATTTTACTACTCCTTAAATCTGTTCAGAAGAAATGGGTAGATGAAAGTTTGATACAATATAGAGTTCTCAGCGAAAAGTATTACAACAGGGCTTTTTTGCAAAACACAGAGATAGTTGCATAAATATATACATAGATTAAGTTTGTAGTGATACGACGATATCAACGACCTGGTTATCTGTTGAGTAAGCTATGTTGAGTTTGTTTGTCGAAAGTATGGAATATAGAAGCTTCTTCATTGGCGTAGTTCTATGCGTTAGTTTCGTCTTCTGGTTCACCGCATTTAGTGGAACTTCACCTGGTTCCAATTAGATAGCATGATGATTGCTATCGAAATATACAACCTACCAATCCTCGTATACAATCATCGACTTAACTAACGTTAGTGAATAACGAAATTAAATAAGCCAAATACGTGTGTTTAATACACTCATTGACTTGAACAGATAATTAGCAGAACGAAATAGTGAAGAGAGGATGAAGTGAGATGAAACGACGCACAGTGGAGAAGGAGAGTGAACCAGCGCCTTTTAATAAGGCGTGACTCGATATTTGTAGTCAGAAAATAGATCGTAGGCACGCAATGAATAGGGTAAGTAAGTTACGCACGATCATATAAAATGGTCGGGATTAATAAGCGAATAATTGACAAGGTCGAAATATGGATTGAAGAATGAATAAATTAGTCCGTCTAGAAGCTGGGATAGATTGTGTGCGCTTAAAATGATACCAACCACTACAAAGCCCTCCCGTAGAAAATGCGAGTAATAACATAAACTAATTACAGAATAAGTCTATGTTAACCATTTCCACATAGCTACCTCAAGAGTGTTCGGAGGTAACACATGTATGCAAAACAAATGAGGGAGAACGAGAATACATACATATCGTAAGGACGCGGAAAAAATGAAGATGTTGGCACGTGAGTATGAGAAGATAATAAGTGTAAAAAATGTTAACATGCATTTATGTTGTGGCTGTTTGGGCGACAAAATAACACGGTCGCGTGAGCGATTAAAAATACCACGATGTCAGAGTAATGAATCATTATTTCTATTAACTTGGTCATCACATAGTATATTTGCTAAGTAAGTTTTGCAGGGATTTTGTGTCTTTGCTCGAGTGCTTGAATCTTGATGCATTCCACTCCGTTTTACCAGTAAATTTGAAAGAAGAAAGATACGAATAAAGTGGATAGTAAGTACCTGATAATATATAGTATGGATTCTACAGTTTTAAACAAATGTCGATTGATAAAAATTACTTGGCTTACGTTTTGTGGATTTCAAGCGTCCTTTCTGAAGATATTTCGTCTCTTTTCTCGTGATGCCAAACACTCGTCAAATGAAGACAAGCTCAAAGGTCGTTGGTTTTAAAGGAGCCAAACCAAATGATGAATCCCCATTAACAAATCAAGTGCTTTTTGATGTCCTTGTGTGTCACGGTTCACACTCAAATGGAGGTAATTGTCATGACAGTGACCCTAGTTGTGATTCGATAGCAGATAGCATAAAAAATCTTAGTTTAGATGGGAAGCAAAGGCTTGAAGTATCAGAAAAGAACAAAATACTTATGGCACCTGTTGTAGGTCTAGAACTACCAAAGGTTGAATTGAGTTATTTTGATGGACAATCAAGAGGGTACTGGAAGTTTGTAAGTCAGTTTCAGACCTATGTGGCATCGAGTGTCACGGATGACAGTCAACATTTGCTTTATTTGACACCACTGCTGAGCTTACTTACGTACTTACTTACTTACTTACGCCTGTTACTCCCAATGGAGCATAGGCCGCCGACCAGCATTCTCCAACCCACTCTGTCCTGGGCCTTCTTTTCTAGTTCCATCCAACTCTTGTTCATTTTTCTCATATCTATCTCCATTTCTCGGCGTAATGTGTTCGTTGGTCTTCCTCTCCTCCTTCGACCTTGAGGATTCCATGTGAGGGCTTGTCTTGTGACGCAGTTCGGTGCTTTCCTCAATGTATGTCCTATCCACTTCCAGCGCTTCTTCCTGATTTCTTCCTCCACTGGGATCTGATTTGTTCTCTCCCACAGTAGGTTGTTGCTTATAGTATCCGGCCAGCGGATCTGAAGTATTTCGCGTAGACAACTGTTAATAAACACCTGTATCTTTTGGACGATGGATTTCGTAGTTTTCCAGGTTTCCGCCCCATACAGTAGAACTGTCTTGACATTTGTATTGAAAATTCTGACTTTGGTGTTGGCTGCCAATTGTTTTGAGTTCCAGATATTCTTCAGTTGTAGATATGCTGCTCTTGCTTTGCCAATCCTTGCCTTCACATCTGCATCGGATCCACCGTGTTCGTCGATGATACTGCGCAAATATGTATAGGTTTTTACATCTTCCAAAGCTTCTCCGTCAATTGTGATTGGATTGTTATATGCTGTGTTGTATTGAAGAATCCTGCTTTTCCTTTTGTGTATATTGAGACCTATTGCTGCTGAGGCTGCAGCTACACTGGTTGTCTTCTCCTGCATTTGTTGTTGCGTATGCGATAGAAGAGGCAGATCATCTGCGAAGTCTAGATCATCCAATTGCATCCTAGCTGTCCACTGTATCCCGTGCTTCCCTTCAGATGTGTGTATATTGTTGCGTTTT